AGGAAGATAAGTGAATAGGTACGTTGTGTAACAGTCATATAGTGGTGTTAATACCCGGAGCTAAGATTAAAGTATAATTCCATATTGATGCATGAATTTGGACAAATTGAAATACAATGCTTTATCTATAACATGTAACTATGGAAACAAAAATCCTGGGCATTGCCAACGTCGACGCTACGTTAATTGAAAAATCTAAGAGAATTATTTTCTTTTGTTAAAACCTTAGTTAATTGTGTTAATAATTCTACTGAATAACACCCCTTGTGAGAATTGTTTTTACTACATGTAACGTTTACAAAACGTTTGCAAATCGTCTGGAGAACCTTTACGTTCCATGTAAACGATTAGAAAGTAACAAGTGTTTTTTCTAATAAATAACTATAAGCAGAAGCTTATCATTAGGAGCGTGCAACAAGCCCATATTCTTGTCACGGCGTTTTCACAGACCGATCTATTTTTAGTTTGAATTTACCGCGAATTCAAACCCTCGCAGGAGCCTCAGTGACCAATCACAAGCACGGACTTAATTTTTAGCTGACGTCATCATTTCACCAAAAGATTGAAAAGAAAAACCGCCATTTCTTTCCTTACTAATGCGCGCTCATGTAGACCGGAACTGACATATTTCGCGGGAAAAAAAGCCTAAAAATAGACCGGTCTGTAAAAATGCCGTCACATAGGCTTACTATGAGAGTTGCACACTCCTAGTGATGGGCTCCTGCCATAAGTGATCTAAAATAATATCAACTCTATCACTAGTATTTAGCTATGCATATAGAAAAACAGGTTTGCTTGAGCAAGCATCATAAAAGTCGTCACAGATAAACGACTGAGTACTAACTAGGCTCAGTCTCCAACCGAGGTTGTTTCGGTGCGCCTGCGATCCTCTCCATCTCGTAGTAGAGGAGATCGCGGGCGCACCGAAACACCCACGGCTGGAGACTGAGCCTAGGTTCTATCAAGTCCTTAAAAGCGAAATTTTGACGTTAGAAGACAAAGAAAGTTACAGTTACTGTAGCAAAAAATGCTCTTAAGTTTGTAAAATATTTAGAAAAGATTTTCATAAGGAAAAGGCCCAATGAATTTTTCTAGTTTCTATCCCCCACACGCTACAAGTGTTCTTCAAAAACGAAAAACAATTCGTAAATGAACGCCATCTCGACGAGTGTGTATTATAGAGAACATAAAAATAATCAAGTTAGTTAGAAAATACCTAGCTTCGTACCCAGATCTCACTCTGTTTGACGTTCCCTCACTTGGCCGTGGGAGATCTGGGATCGAAATTATATACTTCTTAGTTTAAGTTGTGTTTAGTAGTATTGTTACAAAAATACATCTAGTTAATTTATTCTCTCTATTCTCTTTTATATTTACATCTAAGAATCGCTAATTAGTTACGGCACTTTAACCTTCCATACCTGCTTGTGGCAGAGTAAGGTGAGCCAGCAAACTACCAATTTCACTAGCTACGGTAAAATATCCATTTATAGATTTCTCTTGACTGAAGAAAAGGTTATTAAGGTTATCAAGGTAAAAAAATCCCTATCCTTATAACAAACCCTATGCTTAGTAGAATAAAGGTTAATTTGTCAATTCCTGCAGTTTAAAACATGCATTTTAGCAATACCCATCCCCTCGCTAAGCGATGAATTGGATGCTTCTAGTAATTTCTTTTTACTCACAAAGAGGTCAACGTCAGTTATATATAATAACAATTTCCGAGGTCGTTCAGATTCCTTCTCCCTGATGAAAGATTCCACAGTTGTGGCCGATAGTTTGAAATGCCATCTCTCTCCATTTAAAAAGTTGATGTACAAAACTCTTAAAGACCCTATTCATAAATGGCTGCTGTTAAAAAATTTTTTGTAAGTATTGAAATTAGCCCAACTAACCTCGTTTTGGAGCTAATAAATCAAAAGAATTTTTACTCTCAAATGAGGTTAGTTGGGCTAATTCAAATGCATACAAAAGAATCTTTAATTGGCAACCATTTATGAATAGGGTTTACACCGCGTTACAAAACTGTCGAAGGGCGCAACTGAGAGTAACATGATCTATTCTCAAGGCGTGTTCTCAGCTGAAGCCTTGGTTTGGACCAAGTGAATACGACTGAAAGAAAAACACAACAACTTTAAGTTAATCTTCGGTGCACATGTTTTGTTAAAGAAGGGGAAAGTTGGGGGGGGAGGGGAGTCGGGAAGGTAGCATTATTTAAGAAACAGAAAACATGTAGAAATACTTTGGGAACACGAGCCGACAGGCGAGTGTTTCCACAGCTTTTTCCACAAATTTTTTCCCAAGGACTGCAATTCGGTGTTGCAATAAAACAAAAGTACAACAAAGTAGAAACAAAAATCGAGCAACTACAAAAATAAAATTAGACCCGAAGCCTGGACTGTCAGGTGTAATGTAACGCAAACACCAAACTTACTTTAGCTGTCCCTGACGTGACTTCCTCGAAACACTTGTCACACACTCGTACAGGTTTCTTGCTCGAAGTAAGCGGCGCACTTTTAGATGTACAATCACCGCAGTAAATTAAACTGTGTAGGAGATTAAACAAGAAAGGAACTTACTACGGGTTTAACTAACTATTTTAGACTTCAACACAGCCATTTCGGATCTTCTGACATAACATGAGTGTCTCTTTTGTAAGACCTAGTACATACTAGCGACATAACGACATAATCTTATGTTGGTAATGTGAACATCGACATATAGTCATAAGGAAAAGATCAGTGTTTTCCCTTATGTCGTTATGTTCATGCTGTTATGTTGCTATTAAATCATTGTCAGAATGTTCACACTGCAAACATAACGACGTAACGTTCAACTTATGTCGTTATGTCGCTGGTGTGAACTAGGCTTAAGAAAGTAATTCCTTTGCTAGCTGTCACGTGGCAAAAGCCCATCTATGTGATGTCACAAGATTGAACATGGCGGAAAGCGACAAAGAGCCTGTAATCCTAAAGTTTTCGTTTGTTTTTTGTTTTTGCTTTTCTAAAAATGATTATTACCATTTGCATCTGCTTTCAACAACTTTTTCACTTCAGAGTTCAGACATTACACAGGTTAAGAGAGACTTTTACAAAAACATGGCAGCGATAAAACTTGTATCTAAGGGATTTTTTTCCTATTTTTGTGTTGGATTTACTTTTAAGCGAAAAGAAAACTAAACTAGAGGTCATTCTTAAACTTTATTTCAATCGGTTATTCCAACAATTTGACGGAAATTTATTTCAATAACTTTCTTTACTTTTCGCGAAAACCAACAGGAAAAGGAAGAATTCGTGAGTGTGGATAACGTGGCGTGCTTGTGAAAAATATACTAAAGCATAATATATTTACCCGCAGTTTCTACAATGGTGCTGAAAAGGAAAGAAATAGATTAGCAAAAGACGAGAGTATTGACGGGTAAAACAATTGTAGCCTGGGTAGAAAAAAAAAAGG